GGGGGGGGGACCCATTACAACAAAAATAAGGACTAAAGGTCAAGGTAACTGGATTCAGACACATTACAATCCCATTAAGAAGGTGAATTATCCACATTTTGCTGTACAAAATAATGCAAATATATATTTTAAACAAGCATTAAGATGGTACTCCAACACAAAGAATGACAGTATCTCTACCTAGGCAGCCGGTCGGTAGTCAAATCTTCATCTTGTCTCTGTAGATCAGGAATATTGTTCCATCTCCACTTAACACTGGCACACAACACAGTACATTAAACAAAAGTCACATTAAACACTGAAGTTGATTACTAAACCCTTTAATAAGGGAAGGAAACTATCAGGTAATTCTACAGGTAATTAGACTAATTAGTAAGTAAACTAAAAGTGTGAAAAAACTGAGTAATTAAACAATACAGTCAAACTCATGTTCAGATGATGTACACTAGGCTAAACAGGATGGACTAGTTCCCAACAGCTCTCTGCTTCTCCCTCTGCCTGAGAGCAAATCACACCAGCCTGTAAGTATAAATACACTGAGTAATGTAGTTGCAATAACAGGATTTTTTCTACAGCACTATTCAGAATCAGAATTTCAAATAAAAGAAAACTCTGGGTAACCATTGGAAATTTGAGCCAATCAAGGAAATTCCTCATGGGGTGCACCTGCAAGTCTGGTAAAACTGTTGCATCAAGTGTGCCTTGTCTAAGTGAACTTAGTCAGCTCTGTTAAAATGTCCCCAAATGGAAAGGTGCAACATCACATGGAACATCTGGGGCAATACCCAGTGGGCAAGAAATGGGAGAGGCCCACTCAAAAAACTGTCAAAGAGGCTCTTCCTCTATTGGATTGTTATATTCATAATTGGACACATAAAAGCTCCATGTGTAAGTCATAGTTCTAAGTCATGAACCAAATCCTAATCCTTTTTATAAACTTTTAGCTGTTATTTTAACTCCACTGGTTATAACAGGAACCTGTTGTGAAACTTTTGATTGCAGAGGGGTATGCTGGGAAATAAATTGCATATACTTCCTGACCTTGTTCCCTGCCATCTATGCAACATGCCCGCAAACTGTGCAACAATTGTTTTGTTTTGTTTTGTTTTGGGGGTTTTTTGTTAGGCATGTGTATCGTTTTAAATTATATATCGCGAAGCAAATCAATAAAGTGGCGCTAACATGGGGAAGAAGAACCCACCGGGGCTTTGGATCTGAGTGGTGCTGCTGTCATTGACTTTGCTGAGCGCAAGGACTGAAAGATGAAACTGTTGCAGGTGAGTAGGTTTCTGTGTTTTTGCGAAGGATTTAAACATGACTAATGCTAAATAATGCGCTGAAAATATGCGCTCATACGGAAATGCTATGCGTGTGTCATTAGAAACTAATACACTGGAAATGATCGTTGAATAAATGAGTATGCTTGTTTGTAAATGTGACCCCATACAGTCAGTCTGTGAGGAGCTGTGGTTAACGGGTTTTCCTCTTTTGTTCTTTCCTTGTAAAGATCACAGTTTTCTTTGTGTCACTAAATCTGTTTTGGGGCATTTGGCAGATTAGTTGAAAACGATGATGTGCGGTTAGAGCATAAGCTTAGATATATGTGTCCACTCCACTGACCTGTGACTGCAATTGTTGTCCACGGTGCTGATGAAAAGAGTTATGCTATTTTTTCCAGTGTGCGTGTGAGAGAACAGTACATAAACACATAACTGCTAGTTGAAAGAAACAGTTGGGGGGGGG